GTTAATGACCGTATGTTAACTTCTGTTCCTAATGTTTTCGCTTGTGGTGATCTGTGTACCGCTGGCTGGAAATGGGCGAAGCATTGGATGCAGGTAGGCTTTGTTGCTTTCTATAAATTAGGAACTAGCAAAATATTTACACTTATCTAACTTCTGAGAACCCAGTTTGCTCAGTGTGTGGTCATTTCGAGTTGAAAATATCTCTACTACGTAACCAGTTACTTAGTATGGTCGTTGAGCATATATGTCTAATCTTATTTCCTGTTGAGAGACTGCTGAATTACCCCCCCCCCTCCTTTTGCCTTGGTCAATGATACTTTAAAAGTTTTTGAGTTAATTATTATTTGAACAGATGCGTCTCTGGACTCAGGCGTATCAGATGGGAGGGTACTGTGGACGCTGTATGGCAATTACTGATATTACTCTTGACTTTTGTTTTGAGTTATTCAGTCATATAACAACATTTTTTGGCTATAAGGTAAGAAGTTTATTTAATTTCCTTAGTTATTTATAGTGCAGAAAATTTGTGTTTTTATCAGCAGTTCATGAGCTTTAATCCTTTGTTTAGAGATTGGTGTACTTTAAGATGTGAGGTTTGTGCTTCATTTTATTCGAACCAAAAAGGTCCTAATTTGGTGCATCATCGTTTGAACTACGTTGGGGATTGAGGTTTCGTTTAGGTCATATTTTTGGGAAAGTTTAATGGTCAAGACGTTGAAAAACCGTGGCATGTCCTTATGCGGATTTCGAAAGACCGAGATTACATTAAGTTAATTATTCATAATGGACGAATACAAGGTTCCTTTCTTCTACACTTTAAAGCAATTTTAGTTTTTATAAAATCGAATCTTCATGCCTATTTTTTTCGCATTTAATAATGGTCCCTAATCACTGAGATTGAGTGCATTTTTTTTCAGTCAACCAATCGCTGTAAAAACAGTGGAAGTAACTTCAGACTGTTCTAGTATTATCTGACTTCCTTTTTTTTCTTTTTTTCGTCAGGAGGATGAGTCAGTTTCAGGCGCTGTTCTAGTTGGAGAAACGAATCTGGAAGAGGCGATTGAAAATTTAATACTCAACCAAATCGATATAACGGATGTTGAGGACGAATTGTTAGACCCTGATATTGATATAGGCGATTATTATGATTAAGTTGTCTGCCTAACAAGTTCATATCTTTTGTTTTTCAGTGTTGCTGTTTATGCTGTGAGTAACCAGTTTTATTCTGGAAATGTTAAGTTTGTATGTTCATGTATTTTCTGCGGGTTTTTTTGGGGCTTTTATTTTATTTTTTTATTTTTATTTTTATTTTTTTTTTTTGATACCGCAGTTGTTTTCAACTGTGGACCAATCGGTTTTTTGACAGCTTCATAAAGTCTAGTTAGTTTTTGGTCTTTGAATAGTAACATGAACACTGAAGTGAATGCTCTTATATTCGCTGCTGTAGTCTTCCCAAAATATGAAATTTTCTGTACTTATTACATTGCAGAGAGCTTTTATTACTCTTGAAAACCCATCGCTTCGTGCGCTTTGGCTAGAAAAAATTTTGTTTTACAGAAGAATAGCAAAAATACCCGGGATGTTAATTGGCTGAAGGTTTTTTTTAATTTTTCAGTATCGCTTGGGAAATGATGCAGTCATTGCTTAACGGTACACTAATCCAATCATGTAAAATAATTGGGGATATGTATAACCAGGGAACTAACTATAAGCGGAAGAGTTGGAAAAACAGCTTTACTGGTACTTTAGCGTAATATTCTATCACTGTTTTGCAATTTCGGTTTATGCGTTCGCGAACGTTGACAGCAATTATCAGATCTAAATGAGTAGAAGAAACTAGTCTTCAAGTGGATTTGGATAGCAGTGTGTCGCTACCCAGAAGAGCGCTTTTTATTAATTATCTGGAAAAATTTTGATTTGTAAAAGTTTGAAGGAAGGGCAGTAACGGGCGGAAAACTAATTTTTTTTGCTACTGGACGTAGTGCGCTTTGCTTGCGGGGGCAACTGCAGGTGTCGTAGAGGATTTGATGTGATTTTCTTTAGTTAAGGTGGGAATTGGTGTTGAGAGTAGTTTGGCACTGGTAATAGAATACGCGGGAAGTGCCGTTACAAGGACGTCCACTGAGGGGTTTCGGCTGCGGTTGTGTTCAGACGTTTTCGTCAGAGTTGACTACGTTCCTGTTCAGTTTTTCCTAGCAAGAAGTTGTATTGTACCATAAACTTCTGTTTAAGTGATAAAATCCCTCAAAAATTAGATAACAAGAAGTAAAACCACATATATGTAGGTTCTGGTGCTGTCTTTGATTCAGAAATGGCTCAGATCAATAATGTTGAGAAGGGCAAACAGCAGCGAAGTCGTTATTCTTACAAACCACGGGAAGCTGCTTCTGGTGAGTTGTGGCTGATGTGTACTCGTTGATACTTTTGTTTTTCGGTTGCAAGTTTTTGATGATAAAGGAAATAGGAGTAGCTCTCTGTTTGCAGTAAGGTTCTTTAAGCGAGCAGTTGCCCCCACTCATCGTTAGGAAATCTAGCTGCCTTTTTTGTACCTGGCATTTATTAATGTCAGTCGTTTCTTAAACTTCGGTTGCTGCAACTTATTCTTTGGTAAACTTATTTTGATTGCAGTTTCTGAAGAAGAAGCCGTCCCTTATTTACGGGTAGGTATCGTTGAATTGGCCATAAAACCAATGAAAAGCGTTTTTTCTACGGCAGGCTGTTCAGGAAGTCAAAATCTTGACGAAATTCCTTTAGTACCCACATGCGCAGATGAGTTTGCAAGCCAGGGAAATGGTGATGAAGTTGCCTTGGAAATTGCTGTCGCCATCCCTAGACAGTCGGAGAAAAAAAGGAGTGTTGAAAGCAAGCGCTTTCCTGACGACGCGCTTATTACTTCAGCGAACGAAAACAGAAGTAAGGAAAGAAAACGTGGTTTTACAAACGAAAGTTCCAAGGAAACGGATGTTCAGAAAGGTCTGTTTTTAGAAGTCCAGGGTTTGGATACCTGTGGTGCAAGATATTATTTCATTAGTAATCTAACAGTCCATTAAGAACACTTACTCCTTAAACTTCCGGTTGATTTGGTAAACTGGACGTAGAATAATGCTTCAGTTTGAATAGTTTCTTAGAATATCTAACGCATTAGGAACGACAACAGAGTGCTGAACATTATGAGCAATGGGGCAAAGAAATCTGATTAAAAGATTTTGGATATTCTCGTGTAAAGGGTTTTAAGTATTTTTATAGTCATTAATATAGCATTAATGTAGCGATGGAAGAAAATTCTTACATGTATAACTCTTCTGTTGCTTAGTGATTACTAGCATTAGAATTAATTGTCATTATGCAACAACCAATAGAACTAGATTCGTTAATTATCAAAACAAAAAAATTTATTGCTTTAGAGGGCCTTCAACATGGTTCGAAAGTGAGGATTGTCGAGGGAAAGAAAAAAGAACTGAAAGATGAAGTGAGCTGTCATTTTGACCAGTAAATTTTTTAGAACTCTGATTTCCAACCCGAATTCACCAGTTTTTTCTATTATTTCTAAATTACTTTACTGATGCCTACCGCATTGTTTTTTTTTTTGATTTTGATTTACAATACTGCAACGTCAAACTCATTGTTTTGTAAGGGATCTTCACTAAAACCGTTAAAGTGCAAAAAGTGTGGAAGTAACGTGCGCATGGTAAATAAATTCCGGGAGGATGGCCTTTGGAGGTTGGAATGCCGTAATGTTGTTTGTTTGAAGTATGGCTTTTTGAGCTTTCGGATTATCGGAAATCTTGTGTTTTTGATGTTTGTAATTCTTTAATTTTAGATTTCTTGGATACGTACCATTTGACCTCGACTACTACGAAGAACTTAATGTAGGTTCTGATCAGTTATTTTTATTTGTTGTTTGGACTATTTCTTAACTTCACAAAATTTACAGTTGTCTTTTTGAATCGAATTCGTTCATTTAATCTTATAACCCTTAGAATCAGTATGAAGAATACTTAAAGAAACGCTGCACGTCCCACCATAAAAAAAAACGTCCTGCAGAATTAAACGGAGGCACAAGGTAAAGAAACAGAATTGGGCTTCTCTCAGAACCTTTATTTTTTAGCGCTCCTCATTTGTTTCAGTAATATGAGTTGCCCTTGGTGAAATTTTATTTTTTTATTTTACTGAGCGGGTTAGGTGGATAAATTTTGATCTGTGCTTTTCAGTAAACACGGCAACAGTGAAATTTACGATTCTGACTCCAGTATTGAAGTCAATGAAAGTGGTGAATTATGCGTTTCATGTCCCGGACAAATAGAGAAGGCAGTTCTTTTTTAGCTCTGGAAACTATAGAGGTTAAGAAATTGAATGTCTATAGGGTTAAAAAATTATTTTCCTCATTGATATGAAGTATGAGAAGCTTTATTTAGTCTTAATATTACGTGCATTTTTTTTCTTTGGTTTTTTTCCCTAATGTGTTGTCTGAACGTTGTAGTTATGGGTTTTAATTGTTTTATTTCATCAAATTTTTGACCACTTCCTACTTATTTGACTTCTTATTGACCATTTGTACGTTTATTTTTGAGTGTACTATTTCTTGCTTCTTCCATCTTAGTCTTCTCTCACTCATCTAAAATCCTCTTTGCAAAGCCTTTCGCTAAATTTTCAAATCCGGCAGCAAGCATGTACTAAGTAAATGCTAAAACTCATAGTTTGGATTTTTTTAGTTTGGTTTTTTTTTCGAAAGAAAAAATTATGCATTATTCTCTTCGACAATAAAATTTAACCTTTTTTTTCTGGCTTCATTTCCAAATTAATATTTCACGTAAAGATGTTCCTTCCTTTTAGCAGTGTACGTTAAGAAAAATTGCTTTTTATTACGTTCAAAATAAAAAAAATTTAAAGCTTACTGAAAATTCTTGTTGCCTTATTTGTTGGAAATCGTTCTCTGATAAAAAAAAAGTGTAGAAAAATATTTTTGTAACAATGGCTGTTTGCAGTCTTCTGAATAGCAATTAAGTTTTCCGTTTGTTTCATCGTAAGATTTTGTAACCTGATTAGAATTTATGTGCACTGTATATAATTTTAGTTTATTTATTTTCTTCTTTTTTTTCTTTTTTTTGTTAGTCGTATATAAATCACTAGCTTTATTCCAGTTGCTCATTTGTTATCACAGTTTTATTGCATTTTGATTAAGTCCCACTTTTTCTATTTTTGCAAACTTATTTTACAATGATCTTGTGAAAAACAACAGCAGTGCTGCTTAAATTGTTTAAAAACGTGTCGTATGGGATCCGTTTATGTTCTCATAAGAAGGTTTGAATTTTTCTAGTAATGCTAAAAAAAAAAAAAAAAAAGAGAAAGGCTAAATGGGAGATGTTATTTCTTCAACTATTGCTGCTTATAATAGAATCTTTATTTGTAGAGAAGTTCCGAAAGTTCGTTGTCAATGAATTTTCATGACAGGAAACCAGGAAGCAAAAAAGCAGCAATAGAAAAAGTGGAAATAAAAAGATTTTGAAAACTGGATTTTGTCATAGTTTTTTCTTTTTCTTGAAAGAGCTTTATCACGTCGTTCCACCGGTGCTCAGTGCTGTTCGTCGCATCTGATGTTAAAATCAATTTTCTTTCGAATAGAAAATCAGCCTTCATTATATGTTTTTGAAGTGTTGAAAATAATTGCTAAAATGTCTTCTTATTTAGGTTAGGCAAAAACACTCGAGATTGATGAATCGTTGCACCTGCAATTTGCCTGTTCTCCCATTTTTTTTCCACTAGTTTCTTGATAAGTTGATGAGCAGAACGGAAAAGTGAAGTCAGGTGAACATCTTTTCAACTGGTTGTTGATATTACATGGAGTTTTTTTTTGAAAACCAAATGACTATATACGAAGTGGAAGAAACGAATGGCGGTTTTTACACTTTTCATTTATATGACTATACCAGTGAAAAAGAAAGGATGGAGAAAGTTGTTTTGTAATCTGAATGCTAAAAAAAATTTTAGTTTTATTTCTTGTTCCTCTCCGTCATCTTTTTACACCAATTCATAATAGATTACATCAATTTTTCTACCTGTTCAAGTTTTGGAATAACCAAATGCTGTTTTTTTATTATTGGCAGCATTACAGCAGTTATAGAGCTTAGTTTGTTTCAATAAATAATGTTTTTTAAGTAAATTCTTCAATGTTTTTTCTAAAACACTTTTTGCTTTTCCACTTTTTTTTTTTTTCAAATGTCAACGGTTTTCGTACAAATATCTTAATGAATTATAAATTGAAGACTGTAACTTGTTGTAGCTCAGAGTTAGTCGCAAAAATAATTTTTTTTGTTTTTACTTTATTACGTTATTGACAGTTCTTTCTTGTTGAAGATATGATTACTTCATTATGCATTTTCT